AGTGTACACCCTTGGGAACATTTTGCTGAGCTACCAATTTGGATATTATGGCACATATGGAAGAGTTGAAATCGATTTCTTTTCCAGAAAGACTCATTACATTGGCTCAAAGTCGTTCAATATGCGAAGAGGGATTATAATGAATGGGAAGAAAAGGAAAATCATCTACAACACACAAGCATGATCGATAATCACGGCACATCAAATACACAACAGCAAAGAAGACCATATGCAAACAGGCAAAGTGATAATCACAAGTGGACGAGACCAGAGAGTGAATGGATGAAATGTAACTACGATGTATCATTCTATAACGAACACACTGAAGCACAAGCCGGCTGGATTGTTCGGGATGCAAACAGGAATTTTCATGGTGCAGGGCAATCGAGACAAAAGCAACCGTCTAACGCTTTTGAAAGCGAACTACAAGCACTATTAATAGCTATACAACACTGCTGGAGCAAGGGATTTACCAAGATCATCTTCGAAGGGGATTGTCAAAAGTTGGTAGACACTATCAATTGGAAAATAATAAACTTTCATTCTCACAATTGGATTCGTGACATCAAATGGTGAGCAAAACAATTCACACAAGTCAAATATCAATGAATATCAAAAGAATCCTACACAGTAGCTGATATTTTATCAAAGTCTCCAATCTCAGAAGACAACTGTTTTTATTTTCATAATTCGATCGGAAATTTTGTTTTGATCGACGCCACATATTTATGTCATTTTGAAAACTTTCTCATACCGAAATCTTCTTTTGATTTACTGTATTTTGTGGAGAAAAAGAAGTAATAAATATTTCTTCGAATTAATGTATCATTTTACGACAAAAAAAGATGTATCATTTAAATCGGTTCGGTTTGTTTTTTACCACTTCACCTAGAAACTGGATCAATTGCTAGAATGCTACTTTTTGAGAAAAAATGATCTCATATGCCATGGTTTAATAAATTTTTTCTTTTTAATTTTTTTTTAAATCTAAAACTTAAGAAAATACTTTTATATCCTCAACTGATTTTGTTATTTACCAACTCAACCATTTGTTTCATCCATTTAAACCTAAATAATCGTTAGTTTTTTTTTTTTCAACTCTTCAAAATCATCCCAGAATCGACAATTGCTTTTGATTATGTCTGACCACACTTTTCAAAAATCTCTTTGATTTGTGTCCGTGAAAGATTAATTCGTTTATCTATGCATTTATAAATTCCCTCTTGGCAATCCTTTTTGGCTTTCTTTTTCTTCGAGCCTCTCTTCTAAATCTTTTCCTCTTTCTCCTCGTCTCTTCTCGACAGCCGCCATGGATTCCGATTCAATTTGGCCGTCTAACTATTTTAGCCTCTTACATATATATATGTCTGTTACTCTCCACGGAACTGCCCCGTTTTCACTTTCTTCTCTCCGGTTGCGTTTCTATCTCTATTGGGTTCAGTCCGCCGCTACCTAAACACTGCCACCGACATGATTCGAGGTCGGCGTCCTCTCAAGGGAACAAAAAGAAGAAAGGACAAAGTTTGAAGAATAAAGCCAGAAATTGAAGGCATTGAGATGAAGACAAGATCGAAGAAGGTGGATTCGATGTAAAATTGCTGTTTAGAGTGCTCGAGCGTATGGGCTCGGTTCTGGGTTTTGTTCACTTAAATAGATTTCCCGATAGTTTGAAATCTCTGGTACTAATAGTGAGTGAGATTCCTTTGTTGGCGTTGGAACATTCAGGGGCTTTAAATCATGATCGATTGATGGAAATGTGCGGGAGAGTTCTTGGTGGAGTGTTGAACTCTGATCACGAGGACACAGCAACCACCGCGGCTGAGATTTCAAAGTCTTTGACGCCATTGCTTCTGATGGAAAAAAATCAGGCGAGAAGCTTTGCGTTGGGGTTTGTGATGAAGATGGGTCAAGGTAAATCCAATTTGAGGATATTATACCTTTGTTGATAAGTTTGTTAGAAAACCCTTAGAATGTTGTGGAAGATTCATGGGGATTAGATTGTCTTAATGTCATTATGCAGCTGTGTTCAGATTCGAACGCTTTGATTAGAGCTAGAGCTTTTTCATTGGTGGAATAAGCATGATCCAAGTTGCATGGCCACCATTATCATGGACAGTGCTAAAGTCATGGTGCTCAACATTCATTTTGCTAGTTTTCGATGGTGGAGCTTCAGCAACATCAAACTAAAGAATTTTTGATCTGGATTTTTGTGAGAACTATGAAAAATATAATGTTTGTGAGGTACAACTGAAATATTTGGTTCGACTGAGTGAGTTTTACTGTTCAACTAGGTTTTATTAAGTTCAATTAGATTTTATTAAGTACAACGGATGACACAAGTAACAAGGTACAACTGCAATCCATGGTTCGACTTAGTGAGTTTTATGGTTTAACTGAGTTTTATTAAGTTCAACTGGATTTTATTAAGTACAATGAATGACACAAGTAACAAGGTACAACTGAAATACATGGTTCAACTGAGTGAGTTCTATGGTTCAACTGGATTTTATTAAGTTCAACTGGATATTATTAAGTATAACCAATGACACAAGTAATGAGGTACAACTGAAATACATGGTTCGACTTAGTGAGTTTTACGGTTTAACTAAATTTTATTAAGTACAACGAATGGAAAATTATAGTTTTTCATAATTGTTTAATTTGTTTTTTAATAAAAATTGAAGCATCGTCTCCTCTCTCAGAATCTTCTCTCTTGTCTCCTCTCTAGAAATCGTCTCTCTCATCTCCTCTTTCAGAATTGTTTCTCTCGTCTCTTCTCTCTCAGAATCATCTCTCTCTCTCTCTCTCTCTCTCTCTCTCTCTCTCTCTCCCCTCTCTCTCTCTCCCCCTCTCTCTCTCTCTCTCCCCCTCTCTCTCTCCCCCTCTCTCTCTCTCTCTCTCTCTCTCTCTCTCTCTCTCTCTCTCTCTCTCTCTCTCTCTCTCTCGAAGTCCAAGTCGAAGAAACAAAAAAAAAAAATTAGGGTTTTGAAATATTTGGAAAAGTGGACTTTTTAAAAATAAAACTAAAATATTGTAAATTCTTCCCGCTGGCGGAAAACTGAAAATTTATTAAATTTTCCAAAATAAATTGAACGTAGTTGTTCCCAAACAAGCAGTTGAACCAAATTCCTAATAGTTGTACTTTTGCAATTTTATTGTATTTCTAGTTGAACTTTCCCCTAAACTATTATGATGTAGTTGTACAAATGATTTTGTACCATTAAACATCATTTACAACGTTTTCATAGTACAATGTATGAAGAATTTAATATTTTGATTTTTTTAATCCTAAAAGGCTTAACAATGTTGATATCTTCCTTATATTGTAAGGGGTGATTTATGTGAAAACATGATTTTGTATCAAAATAAAAAGTTAATGTTCTTTATATTAATAATTGTTTTCTTATAGTTGAACATGTGTTTATAGGTCTTAATTGGTTGATTCACATCACTTGTAGCTTTAATAATTGTTTAGTTCACTTCCAAAGTTGATATTAGTTGTACCCAGTTGCACCCAGTTGCACCTGTTGGTGCAATTTCAAGTAAAATACAAAATTATTTATAATTTTACCCAGTTGCACATGGTGGTGCGATTTCGAGAAAGATAAACACACAAACGTTAATAGTTGTATCCAGTTGAACCTAGAAATGCAAATCAGAGAATTACAAACACATAATCGTTAATAGTTATACCCAGTTGAACCAGGAAGTGCGAATTCAAGGTTAACAAATATGTAAATGTTCATACGTGTACTCAGTTGTACTTGGTAGTGCAAATCAGAGAATGAGAAACACATAAACTTTAATAGTTGTACCGAGTTAAACCTAGAAGTGCGAATTTGACAAAATGAAACTCATAATTGTTCATACTTGTACCTAGTTGAACCTGGTCATACAAATTCGTCAAACTCAAACACATAAAGATTCATAGTTGTACATAGTCTAACATGGTTGTACAAAACCGAGAATTACAAAACACACACACATACACACACACACACACACACACACACACACACACACAAATCAAACTGCGCTACAAAACAGATGCTATTAAGCGTGGGATGCCTCTTAACGGCCCGAGAGCATATATTCATCTTTTTGTATACTCTAACACTGAAATAATCTGATTTCTTAAACCTCCATAGTCAAATGTATGTTTGTGTGGTTGATGTTCATGCTCTCCTGAAAATATAATGAAAATAATCGATCAGTAATTATACAAACTACCACAGTTGTACCAGTTGAACTAATTGTCTTAGTTGTACCAATTGAACTAAATCTCTCAGTTGTACCAGTTAAACTCAGTCTCTTAGTTGTACTATTTCGCTCTCAGTTGTACCAGTTGTCATATAATTGCAGATTGATTGAACTCGATGAACTTCGAGCTTAAATTCTACATATGAATCTGATTAACATAATCATATTCTTCTCACAAATTACCGAACCTATGGCTTAATCTATCCAGAATACATTGTTACCAATCCAGATTCGTATATTTTCATATCTAAATCCTTAATTTTACCTAATTAAAAAGGAATAATTAGCTTAAAAATGAACTTTCAATGGCAGAGCAATTGCAGAAGAGGAGAAAGACTCGAAATCTGGATCGGTCGAAAAGGATGTCGGCTCTGATGAGAACAAAAAGAAAGAAAACTCCGGTGAGAGAAGATCGGAGATGGGAGATCGAGGGAGAGGGGTTGGCGGCTCGTCGGAAAAATAAGCTCAGGATAGAGAAAAGAAAAGGATGAGCAATTTTGGTTTTTTAATTTTAATTTTAATTTTTTGATTTTTATTTTTTTACTAATCACTAATTGATTTTTACTTTTAATTTTACTCAGTTAATTCATTAAAGATAATATTGTAATTTTCTTTCTCCTTTAGTTGATTTGGGTGGCATTAGATTGATGAATCGCATAAGGGATCAGTTTTTTCTAAAGAAGTGGCATGTCAGCCTCGTGCTCCTAGAAACTTGATTGTATTCACTTTTTCTTCTTCAGGAATCGTAGATCTAAATTCGATCCGGTGATGGCGAGATTCTCGGTGTATGGAGGAGACGACGGAGAAGGATCAAGCGACCATCAATCCCGGAAGCGACAACGACTTCCATCCATCGATGAAGATGAAGAAGACGCCGAGGACTCTGACGCCGGAAGTTCCGGGGAAGAAGACGAAGAAGAAACTCAGAACCCTCATCGTGACGAAGAAGATAATTGTAGAGGACTGAGAATGGAATCTGAAGATCGAGTATCCACGAGCGATGATAGCGATCGTGAAGTGGTGATAGAGGAGGAGAGACGCGTAAACAATCAGAGTTCTTCGAGCAGAGATTCGCCACTTTCCTTAACGCTTTTGGATCCGGATGTTCTCGATTGCCCAATTTGCTGCGAGGCGCTAAAGATTCCTATCTTTCAGGTTTGATTCTTCTCCCTGATCGAAGCATTTTGATTCCACAGAATCCGTTTTTAGGGTTTTGAGACCTCATTTCGGAGATGGTAAAGAAAATTTAGATGCTTGAGGAGCCGTAACTCGTGTAGAGTGAGGAAACAAATGAAAAATAGATGAAAATGGGATTATATCAATTCAAGCTCTGCTGCAAGTTAAGCCATTTTGTTTGTGTTTCAAGAATGTTCATGAAGCACTTTGATTTCACGATCCATTCTTAGGTTTAGAGTCCTCATTTGGAAGATGATCATGGAAAAGATAGATGTTTGAGGATCCGTAACTCGTGTAGATTGAGGAAACAGATGAAAATGAGATATCAATTCAAGCTCTGCTACAATTAGGATTTTGTGTAGCACTAGTTTAAGCCATTTTGTATGTATTTCAAGAATGTTCAGATACCATGTTCCTTGAAGAACAGTTTCCCATATTTTGCTTGAATCGAAATCGAAAGGTTTAATTGCAGAGAATGAACTATTTTCTGTAGTTTTCATTGTAGTTTGGGATTAAATTTTGTGGTTCTGTGTGAACAATGGACTCTGTATGTAATAGCTTTTTGATTCCGTGTTCAGTGTGATAATGGTCATGTAGCTTGTTCTGTGTGCTGCACCAAAGTGAGGAACATATGCCCATCTTGCACATTACCCATCGGTTACATTCGCTGCAGAGCCATGGAGAAGGTTATAGAAGCGTCTAGAGTCTCATGTCCTAACGCCAAATACGGGTGTAGAGAGTTTATGCTATACCGAAACCGGTTTAGCCACGAGAAGCTCTGCGTTTACAACCCGTGCTCCTGCCCTGTGCTTAACTGCAACTTCACTGGCTATTACAAGGATCTCAACCACCACGTCCGTTCTAAACACAGAGACGACGTGATCCCATTTGTGTGGGACAATTGTTTAAGCATTAGCTTGGACCTCGACAAGAAGACCACGATACTTCAGGAAGAAAATGATCGGGACGTGATTGTAGTTCAAGTTTTCAAGGGCTTGCACGTAGTGTATGTCACTGTGAGCTGGCTTGGGCCTTTGGCACCGGAAGTGGGAAAGTTCTCATGCTATCTGCTAAATCTAGCCGTCGATAGCTCGCTGAGACAGGGATTCATGGTGAAGAACATTCAGAAAGTGAGGAATGAACAGCCTAAAGATGGTTTCATGGTGATTCCTTCCTATATGCTGTCTGGTGATTGGATGATTACGATTGGCCGTGGCCAGGACTTTGTTCATGTTTGAGCTATGCAATGAATTGAAGTTAGAGTCATATTGTTCTCATGCACACATTTCTATGTTTGTATATGATTTAGTTTTGAGCTTAAAGGTTTTATGACAATTATGAATCGAATGTCTTTAGGAAGGATTATTGTAGAAGACAAAGTTGTGGCCAATAATAGTATTTGTGGGATCAACTTTAGACAGAATCATATGGAATTCGAAGAGAATTCAATTTGGGGATGCTATCAAACCGGACTAACCGGGTTTCAGATACCAATTAAAAAGTCGGTTTTAGATGAGAATGGACAATCTGGTTTGTCGATTCAGTTCTACTATTAGTATATTTTATATCGGTTCTGTAAGAAGGCAACCCAAATAAGACCATCATTTTATCCATTTCAATTATTTGATGAAATTTTGGTTTGGTTCTATTTGGATTCAGGTATATCTAGTAAAAGGATAGTTTAAATTAGAAAAATTAGAGTCCATATGCTGGTGATTGAGCTACCAAACCGGACTAACCGTGTTTAAGATGCCAACTTGTATTTTAAATTTTAAAAGAATCAAACCAATCGAATGATAACAAAATTCAATTAAAGTATTTTGGTTAAGTGTTTTGAATTTTGATTTGTTTGATTCTTAGTTTTTTTTGTCCGTCCTAGTTTTCTTAGCCGTTTTAGGGCCAAGGAGTAAAAAACTCTTCGGAATCTCCACCCAATTTATGACAGTGACACTAACAACTGCATGCGTAGATTCGGACAAAAAACTCTATTTCCGAGAAAGATGTAATGCCAGTATCCACTGCATGTCTAGATTCAGATAAAAACTCTTCGAAGATGGGAGCCTTTTAAGCGTTAGGGTTTATTAAGAAAAACTGGGAGTATAAATCAAGAAAAATTACCTTCAATAGACACATGGAAGAGCATGGAACCTCAACGAGGCAACAAATGTCATCCGTTGGAAATCGAATTAGCTCGAATGGTGAAAACGAAGATAAGAATAGTTCGGTGACGCTGGTTGATCTAGATGCTCTTCACTGTCCTATTTGCTGCGATTCTCTGACTAGTTCTATCTTCCAGGTTTCGTTTCGTTTCGTTGTTTTCTACTTAAAATTTAGTGTTTTAAAATTCCATTATTGCGATTGTTCCGATTTTCGAATATAGAATTGTCATGTTTGCTGTGATACATACATTTACTATAATATCTATCAGTTTTTTTTCTCGTTTTTAACCTGAATTTACAATGGTTTAAAATTTGAACATTTCGTTGTTGATTCAGAGTGACCAGTTTTGTCCATTTTTTGGAATATGTATTCGTCCTGATTGATATCCACTAGAGAAGTGGAATATAATATCATTTTCTTGTTTTTATTATTTTATTTTATACAAAAGTTGGATACAGATTTAATAAGAAATTTTTGGTTTCTTCATTTCAGTGTGACAATGGACATATAGCTTGCTCTACATGCTGTATCAAACTGAGGAACAAATGTCCTTCTTGTGCTCTTCCCACTGGTCACATTCGTTGCAGAGCAATGGAGAGGGTTATCAGAGCAGTCATCGTCCCATGCCCCAATGCGAAGCTAGGTTGCACAAAGAGTTTCTCTTATGGGACAGGACTATCTCATAAGAAGCAATGTAGTTTCTCTCCATGCTCGTGTCCTGCAGATAATTGCAATTACACTGGCACTTATAAGGATCTATACTCACACTTTTATATTCACAACGGTGAACGAAGGTTTAACTATAAATTTCTTTTCGGCAAATCAGTTGAAATATACTTTGAATTGACAGAGTTTACGTCACTTGTTATGAAGCAACAAAAGGATGTTTACTGTTTGTTATTCAGTGTTTCAGAGAGTTGAGCGCATCCACTTTCCAAAGCAATGTATTCGGCCTCTGCTGTTGATAGTGAGATGTTATTTTGCTTCTTACGGTGCCAGGATATAAGATTGGTCCCTAAAAAGAAATATCTTCCACTCTTACTTCTTCGGTTGTCTAGGCATCCTGCCCAGTCAGTGTCATAGTAATCTGCAAGATTCTGATTGGTGTCGATGGTATACAGCAGTCCCATATCTATTGTTCATTTGACATACTTGATAATCTGCTTGACTGTTTGGAGATGAGACATCTTCGGATTAGCCTGGTACCGAGCACAGATATCCACACTGAGATAAAGGTCAGGTCGACTTGCAGTGAGATAGAGAAGACTTCCAATCATCCCACGATACAGCTTGATGTCAACATCCTCTCCCTGTGAGTCGCGTGACAGCTTGCAGTTCGTTGCCATGGGTGTCCGAGCTGTCTTACTCTTGTCATGACCAAACCTTGCAACCAAATTCTTTGCATATGTGCTTTGAGTAATTCAGCTCACCCACCATACTCATCTCAAACTCTTTTGTCATCGTGGCAACAAAGTCATCTACCAGCTTCTGATTTGTAGCTCCAAACACGATATCATCAACGTAGATTTGCACTACCATGAATCCTGATTTTCAGTGAATGATGAACAGTGCCTTGTCAACACTCCCTCGCTGGTAGTTATTTTTCATTAGGAACGTTGTCAGCCTTTTATACCAAGCACGAGGTGCTTGTTTGAACCCGTAGAGTGCTTTCTGAAGCTTGTAGACAAACTGAGGATGTTCCACATCTTCAAACCCCTTAGGTTGTTCCACAAACACTTCTTCTTGAAGAATCCCATTCAGGAAGGCACTCTTAACATCCATCTGATGCAGCTTGAATTGAAGTTTATAAGCCATCCCTACAAGGAGTCGAATCGACTCAAGTCTCGCCACAGGTGCAAAAGTTTTATCGAAATCAACTCCTTCAACTTGAGAGTATCCTTGAGCTACCAGACGTGCCTTGTTGCGAACCACATACCCATGCTCATCACTTTTATTCTTGAAGATCCATTTGGTTCCAACCACATTCACACCCGTCAGTCTGGGAACCAGAGTCCAGACTTGGTTTCTCTCAAACTGTTCCAACTCATCTTGCATAGCCTTGATCCAATATTCATCAATCAGCGCTTCTTTGTGATTTTTTGGCTCAATAGTGGACACAAAACTAGCAAATCTCACCATATTTTTGAAATCCAGTTTGATGTGCCATGTGACTCTTGCACCATCAATGTCACATATAACTTGCTCCTTACGGTGATCTTTTAGTATCTTTCAAACTTTTGCACTGGGAATTAGAGTGAGGTTCTATCCTGATGTATCAGTTGGACATGCAGAATTTGGCTCAGTGGAGTCATCAGCATCTGAATCTGTTTGACTCTCTGTTCCACAAGCTGAATCCTTTTCTGAGTCCTCACTATTTGGTGCTTGAGACTGTCCGTCTGTATCAGCTCTTCCCTCAGTATGTTCTGATTTCTTTATTGCGAAATCAACATGATCAGCTAATGGGTGTATCAGGCCTTGTGAAACAATGTCATCAAAGACAACATTTACCGTTTCTTGAACTTGAAGGGATTTTTTGTTGAAGACTCTGAATGCGGTGCTTGTTCCTGAGTATCCTAGAAATATTCTTTCAGAGCTTCTCGAGTCAAATTTGCCCAAATGATCCTTGTCATTTAGGATACAACACGAACACCTAAAGACATGAAAGTAGCTCACATTAGGAGTCTTCCCTTTCCATAGTTCATAAGGGGTTTTGTTGACCCCCTTTCGAACATACACCCGGTTGATGATGTAACAGGCTGTGTTCAAAGCCTCAGCCCAGAAACGTTTAGCCACCTGATTCCCATGTAGCATAGCCCGAGCCATTTCCGGAAGTGTTCTGTTCTTGCGTTCAACTACTCTATTTTGCTGAGGAGTTCGTGGTGCTGAGTATTGGTGAGTGATCCCTTGTTCACTGCAGAAACGATCAAAGACTTCATTCTGAAATTCTCTCCCATGATCGCTTCTGATTGTTTTTATACTATTCACCCGCTCAGTCTTGAGTTGAGGAGCAAGGATTCTGAAGCTGTCGAACGTGTCTGACTTTTCACGAATGAATCTGACCCAAACATATTGAGTGTAATCATCAACCAAGAAAAATGTATACCTCTTGCCTCCAATACTCTCGGTTCACATTGGTCCCATGAGGTCCATGTGAACCAAATCAAGAGCATGATGAGTCTGGATGTCAGGCACAACTCGATGTTGAATGCACACCTGTTTCCCTTGTGTGCAGGGACCACAGACAAAGTCAGGGACTATCTTGATTTTGGGCATGCCGCGAATTAGTTCTTTGTTAGCCAGTCTAGCAATTGTGTGAACATTCATGTGTCCAAACTTCATATGTCACAGATGCATATCAGTGTGAGCACCAGTAATAATGCTGAGGCACTTGACAGGTGGAGGTATCCATATGTAGCAGTTGTTGCTGGTCCGAGTTCCACAAAGGACAATTTGTCCGTTGTCAGTCACCGCTTGACAGGTTTTCTTGGTAAAGCGTACTGATAGCCCTTCATCACACAGTTGACTAATGCTGATCAGGCTAGCTTTCAGTCCATCAACAAAGTACAGACAAGTGTGGTTTGGCTGGACCAGATGTTCCTCCTACACCTTTAATTTTTCTTTTAGCACTATCCCCGAAAGTAACTTTACCAGCTGATACCTTTTTTAGTTTATTCAGCTCAGCCTGAGTCCCTGTCATGTATCTTAAGCAGCCACTGTCAAAGTACCACAGAGCATCCTTTGAGTCCTGTTCTGTATGCATTACTGTTAGTGCACGATTATCAGCAGACTTCATTTTCTTAATCCATCCCTGGTTCCGATGTTTTCCATTCCAGAAGAACTGATTCTGACTGATCAGATTCTGAATATCTTCTTGAAGACGGTAGCAGTGGATCTTGATGTGTCTTGGCTTTCCGCAGTAGTAACAGCCAGATAACCTACCGTGTCTACAGAACTTACTGACGTTGTGCTTTACGGCTCTGTTCCTTGGAGCTGATGACTTAGGTTGTTTCACTGGACTGTTTCCTGAGATAGCCGCTTTCAAGTTTGTTTTGTCAGGATGTACTGATAACTGTCCTTGCTGAAGGAGTTCTGAGCCGCGAACGCAATCGTTGATCGACCAGGCGTAGTTCCAGCATATCCAAGACCATAGTTGCTCTTGCTTGACTGTCCAATACTCAGAAGTTTATCAAGATCTTTGGTTCCTTTTGACAGCATTTTGATTTTTTGAAGTTGCTCTGTCAAACGTCCATTCAGCTCGCGACTCTTCTCTTGTTCTTCAGCGAGAAGCATCTTGAGAAAGTCCAAGTACTTGACTTGCTCAACAAGCTGATTTTCAGCAACTTCAACTTCACACTGCAAGGAAAAGATCTTGTCATCTTTTTCTTCAATTATCTGAGTGTTGACCTAAAGACTACCTTGCAAGTTCGTGATATGTTTATCTTTATCAGAAATCTGCTGCAGGAGGTTCTCTTTTTCTTTGTTCGCATTGACCATAGCAAGACAGAGAGTCCGGTTTTCCTCCGCCAGAATTTCTTCATCATCAAACTCATCATCCTTATCAGATTTTCTCCCATAATCCACACCCTCATTGATCACTCCAAGGAAGGCTACATAGTTCAGAAGAGACTCCTCATCGCTTTCACTGTCTGACTGAGACTCCTCTTTGATCATCAAGGACCGTTCCTTGCGCTTTTCTTGAGTAACACACTCAGTCCTGATATGACCAAAGCCACTACATTTCTGACACTTGAGCATTATTCTCTTCTTGGCAGTTGGGCATTCAGTCTTAAAGTATCCATATCCTTCACATTCATGGCACTGCATTTCTGACTTTCTTGATCCCTGTTCAGACTTGGAGTCCAAATTCGATCTTCTTCCATCCAATCCTGACTTGCGTTAACCTCTATCGAACTTCTTAAAGTATTTCTTGACGATCAGTCCCACTTGATCATCAAGACTGGTTTCTTGAGGTTTGCCTTGTTCAGCCGAGAATGCAATACTTTTCCCTTTCGCCTGATTTTTCTGAGACTGTTTCATCTCATATGCTTGCATCATTCTCACGATTTCATTGAACTTCATATCGTCCGAGTCTCTTGAAACTTCAATGGCTGATATGTAGGACTGAAATTTATCAGGGAGGCTCCTCATAAACTTCTTGACCAGTTTTTTGTCCTTGTATGTTTTTCCAAGTACTTGAGCCTCATGTGCAATGGCGTTGAGTTTGCCGCTGAACTGTTCTACCGACTCCCCTGGTTCCATGGTCAGCGTTTCAAACTGAGAAGCTAACATGTCTATCCGGGTTCTCCTAACCGTAGTGGTTCCTTCATATGCGGTCTGCAGTGTATCCCAAGCTGCCTTTGCCGTGGTGCACCCTTGGACTTTCTTGAACTGATCCTTGGTGAGGGAGGTCCATATTATTGACAAGGCTTTGGAGTTGAATTTAGACCAGTACTTCTCTTCCGCTATCAAAGTCAATCTTGGTTTGGGTCTTCTCACTTCATCCTCTCCAACAACTGTTGGTTCCGTCCAGCCTTCTTCGACCATGGTCCATGCGTCCTCATCATAACCTTTGATGAGAGCCTTGATCTGAACCTTCCACCACCCGTAATTCTCTGCGTCGAGCACCAGTGACTTGCTCGGATCCAAGATGTTGCATGTTTTTCATACTTTGTCCCACAATCGCACCTGATTAATAAGAACATACAATTCTTTAGCAGATGTCTGCTCTGATACTAATTGTAAGTGTAGAAAACAAGCACACACAATCAATGACTTAGAAAGCGCCAAGTCGAACGCTAGCTTTTATTATTTTGAATCAATAATTTAATCAACTGATTACAATTGCTTGGATTTATGCAATTCTAACTTAGAAAGCAACCAAACGATTCCTAGTAATAAAAACCTACTCTTCTCTTGATCATACAACACGTGTATCAGCGAAGAAGACAATAACCTTCTTGCTTCGTATTTATTTGAGGTACAAAGTAACCTAGATCAATTGCGGTGCAAAGTGTATTCTTCAACTTTGCCCGACTTCTGTTTATATATAATCTCCTAAACCTAAATCTAGAACCTTTCTCAAATCTCTCGTAAGGTAAGATTCCATATCCCGAATATCCTTGCA